ATGGTGATTCGAATGCCCTAGTCTCAAAATCTGTTTTCCAACTCTTAAAACCACTCTTTGTTACATTTGTTTACTTGTTTTTGTTTGCAATTTCATTTTGCTTCTTTTGTTCAACAATCACAACCACTCTTGTTTTAAATTCTGTTTTAGACATAACCTCCTACTTTCTTGAATTTGGTAATCTAAGTACATAACTAGTTTTAACTTCTCAGTCTTCGTGGGTACGACCTCGTACTTGTCTTGCTATACTACTAATTGCCCCGTACAATTGTGAGTTAACATAATATTAACAACAGTGGGCATGGTGGAATGAAGGGGAGAAGAAAATCGCAGCGGTTTGGGAGAATTTTTACACAGAGAGAGAGAGAGAGAGAGAGAGAGAAATTTTTTGATTTTTAATATTTTATTCATATTTTAATCAATTTAAAATTAAAAAATTAAAAAATGTGGGACCCACAATGCCACGTAGGCAGTTAACAGAGAGATCTAACAGAAACCCTAACGGCGGAACCACATTGCAAAAAATTTACAAACTAAGGGTATGCGATTGTTAAAATTGAAAAGACAGGGACTAACATACCTTAAGGGTGTAAGTACAGGGTACTAAATTGTAATTAAAAACTAAACCTTATTTGACAAATGAAAAAAATTGACAATGATTAGAACTAGGAATATGATCCAAAAATACACCAAGTTACTTTTATTTTAATAAATGTTCGTAACTCAAATTAGATACCATCTTGAGTGCTTGTGTGTGGGCTTGTGTCAAAGCTTTTAAGGGCCTGTTTGGTATCCTACTAAAAAAAAAAACTCAAAAATCATGATGTGATTTTTAAACACGAGTTTTTAAATACCGATTTTAAGAGAGAGAAAGAGAGAGATAATGTAAAACCTCTTATTTATTTATTTTTGTTAAATTGGTCCTTTTTAAAGTTATTTTTGAGTTGGATTTTTGAAAATTTGACTTTATCAAACACGAATTATGGACTTTGGACTCAAAAATTGTTTTTGAATTTAAAAATGGATCTAAGTAAGATACCACGGGCCCTAAATCTTCCAACAAAGTCCACAGAATATAGATTGAATTCTTAAAATATGTAGGCTTCTTAAATAATGATATTTTATATTCGCAAAATTGATACCAAAAAAAAAAAAAAAATTCAATTAGAAAACTTCCTATCCCACGATCCACCATCATGGAGTCATCTACCATCCCAGTGCACAAACTCTTAATCAACTCGACACAGATGAAGAAAAATAACAAATGCAACATATAATCTAACAATATATGGTGTAATCGAATATCCTACCTAATTACAAATCATGAATTTTCTGAAAAATCAGAAGAAATAATCTTACAAATTCCCTAGAAACCCAACTCTGACATCTTCAACAAGGGATCTGATCGATGAACCATCTAATTATTTTTACAGGAAGCTTGATAAGAGTGACCGCCAAATTCGCTATCCCACCAACACAAATGCAGCATGGACACAAGCAACTCAAAACCGTCCTGCAAAACAAAAAGAACGAAAAACATTACATCTAAGAAATTGATTCAACAAGAAGATAATTCATGTAACAAGAAGACAGCCATTGCATGTGTATGAATGAACTCACCCAAGAACCCAGATGACAGCACCAACAACAGATAAGACCAATGCAACCAAAGCAAAAGGCAAACCCAGCAAGAAACCCAGTGGCCTGCAATCTCCCATGCTAATTAATCGTTTATTAATAAATTATAATAAACTCTGCCTTCGATATGATTTTGATCAACAAAACAAAACCCTTGCCTTCACCTAAAACACTTGTCTCATATCTCTTTAATATATATGGGTTTTGAGAAGCGTTGTGGTTTCTTTGTGGATTTCGAAAGAGAAGATGGAGAATGTTGAAGTCGTCATAAAGGCAGGCGGACTTGTAAATTAATTTGTAGGAAGGATACCTGCTGTGAGGCGGAGGCGGACTTGTAAATTAATTTCGAGGAAGGAAACATGACGTGAGGCGGACGCGGAACGTAACCGCTACCCTCTCTTTATGTTTTAGGATTGTACAGAATTGTCCTTTGTCAAACTCAAGGATATTCGAATTTGTTGAAGTTATTGGGGTTATTTGAGGAAATTCGTTTCCCAGAAGCTTCTTCTGTTTTTCTATTGGTCAAAAGTCTAGATTGTGAACTGCGCGTGAAGACTTCCCTCCGGATGGTTTCCACATTGAAGCTCAATCATTACTAAATATAATTAATATTTTTTTATTAATGATAAATTCAGTTTTTAGATAATATCATTATCTGAAATTCGAATTTTGGTAACAGTTGTTGGATGAAGAGATATCAGTCTTCAAAAGGGACGAACCCACAGTGGGGTTAATGTGGTCAAACGACCCTATGGACTCCATGGAAATAATTTTGAAAGTCCTCTTGAGATGCCCACCACCTGTTTGATATTTGGCCTAAGGAAAGGCTTGCTGTGTGAGGAAGAAGAAGAAATGCATTGTGCTTCATTTTTTTTAAAACACGCTCCATTTTGCCCTAGCGCTTCTTTTTTTTTTTTTTTTTTTTAAACACACTGGCCAAAACAACGTCGTTTTGGTCCAGAGATTTTTTTTTTTCAATGACCTGCCCAAAATGATGTCTTTTTGGTCCAGGTCTTTTAAAAGAAAATTAAAATAGTTCAAGCCATTCCAAAACCCCTCCACTCGATCCCAGCCTCTCCAAAACCCCTATTCCTTTCTCCTTAACCCTAAATCCCCAATCTCCACCCCGCCAAACCTTTAACCCCCATCTTCTCCATTGTTGCCGTCGCCGCCAAATAAAAATTTGAACATTTACACTACGACCCTATGAGATAAGATTTCTAAGTCCATCATTGGTCTTCAAACCTTTATATAATAGACAATTCGTTCAAGCCAGAGTACATAGAATTTTAGAATCACATTATAGACTTTGATTTGTGATAAGAACATTGCAACTCTGCATAACTCTATCACCAACCAAATCAGTATTTTCAATTTAATTTATTGTTGTATTGATTTTTTTTTTTTTGGGCCAACTATTGTTGTATTGATTAGATCTATTGTTATAAATAGAATTTATTTCGTTTTATTTTTTATTCTGTTATTTGGTTAATTTCTGATGTTCTCCAACAACAACTAATACCATCTTGAGATTCAAAAATTGATGCTTTTCGCAAGTAGAAGACTTCTCCTCCTGATAATATCATCACGGCACGATTCCTTAACCCATTTCTGGGCCTTCCTTCACTTAACTGCTTGGTCTGGGCCATACAAAGCTACGCAGTCTAACTGGGCATGGTCATGCAAAATTAGAGCCCAAATAGACATTTAAGCCCTTTTAAAACTTTAAAAATAATATATTAAAAAACATGTTAAACTAAACCGATTAACAGGTCCATTTAAAAAGCCCTGGAATTGAATTTGGTAAGATAAATTGTCCAGGTGCTGTGTGTTCACTAATGTCGAGTCAAAAGTGCTTTTAAATCGGAGAGGTGGAGCAAAGGATCACGGAGAGAGAGAGAGAGAGAGAGAGAGAGAGAGAGCAGATCACCACTCGCCAGCCAGCAGTGACTTTTGGTTTTTGCTGAATTTTGGTGTCGTCTTCGTCAACCGTCGACCGGCGTTAAATAAAATTGCAGCACTGAGAGGTGCTGTTATCTTCTCTTACTTACAAGCTCTACTCTACATGATGCCATAGTTCATTCATAAAAACAAAAACGTACGTTTCCATGTATTCCGGATAACAACAATTCACTTTCCTTGTATTATTATTTACTTATCTGTCTCTGCCCTCCCATTAATTTACCTCCTGCTGCTGCTGCTGCTGCATTTCCAGCCCCAAAGCCCTACCCTGCCCTAGACGACGCCGTTTCACTTCCCTGCCGGTGCTATCTCTCACTCTCAGTCTCAGTCTCGGCCGCCACTTTTACCCCTACAGCCTACAACAAAGGCAAGCTTCGCTTCACCGCGTTTCTCTATCTCTAAGACCCATTTTCTTGGTATTCTCTTGAGTGCTTGAATTTATAAATTATAACTCTTTTCGTGTCTTTTGATCCAATTTTATTATTCCTCTCTTCGGTCCCCTAGTTAAATCAACGAAACCATAGCAAACAACTTCGATTGGTTGTGCGTTCTTTCTTTCGTACTTTATTTATTTATTTATTATTTAATTTAAAAAAATAAAACAAGAGATTGAGAACGTCACACTCTTGCTAGGACCTGGCCGAATGTTAGGGTTTGGATTTTCCAGAAACTATTTCTCAAGAACAAGGAAAACCAAAAGTGCCAGTGCATCTCCTGTGTTTTGTTAATTTATGTGTTTATTTTACTCCATTCAGCGCCAGGAACGAAGCAGTATATGTATTACTTCATTTTATTAGTTTATATAAAATGAACTTTATCTGATTGAATATTATGTTGCATTCAGATTTCAGTGTGTAAAATCAAATCAGTATAATTTAGATGGAGGACAAGGAAAAATTGGGCCAAGAGAAGGATCAACTTGGGCAGCCACCTCAACCGGAAACAAATGATCAAGTTATGAGGGATGCTATTCAGGACAAGCCGGCTACTCACGAGGGGAATGTTGGTGATGATGTTAAAGTAAATGAGGCTCTTCTTAGTGATGTGCCCATAGAAAACAAGGCTGATGGCAGCAATGCCACTGTAAAAAATCAGCTCAAACCTGTAGATAAACATGTAGGGGTGGGGGAGTTGAAGAATGGGTCGAACGATACCGAGGTACCTAGTTCCAGACATAATGTTTTTGTTTATGAATGACTTTAATGCAATGAGTGTTCTCTTTCCCGGCTATATTTCTCAATTGCATTTCTTCTTTTATTTTGCTTTTCTAATTTGCAGATGGCTGAGGCTGAGGATACGGGGGATGGGACACCATCGCAGCAAGCAGCATTTATGAAGGAGGTGGAAAGTTTCTACAAGGAAAACACCTTGGAATTTAAGGCCCCTAAGTTTTATGGAGAGCCGCTGAATTGCCTGAAGTAAGATTCTGGAAATAATTATTTTCACTGTATATATTATGTGTGCCTTTTATGTATAAAAGAGTAATTATGTGTCTGAAGACTGAAATCAGGTATGGTCTAATCTCTTCATACTTTTTGTGGGATGTAGGTTATGGAGGGCTGTTACTAGATTGGGTGGCTACGATGTGGTATGTATGCATCTTGTTTCTCTTTGGATTAATTAAACTTAATGCTTAGCATAATTTCATATCTGTCTGCTGTAGACAAAGCATTGCAAAGAATGCTTGCACTCAAGTAGAACTTAATTGAAAGTTCCATAGATTTACTGGTTTATAATTTCACCACACCGTGCCAAACTTATTGAAACTATACATTTGCAATTTAAAAATGTTTGTCCTATCGTTAATTTATTGTCTGGACTGTTAAATACTGGGATCTTATGATAGATGCAAATGAATGGAACCTGATAAGTAGATTAAACGAGTTGATAGTTGAATTATAGTAGGCTCATTCATGGTATGTGTGGGAAGGTTCACCAACTATATACAGTGATTTTGGTGAGGAAAAGCTCACCAACTATATCTGTGGCATATGAAATATTGTCTGAAACTGAATCATGTGAGGGAAAGTTCACCTACTATATATCGTGAATTTGGTAAATTTTGGTAACTTTGAGAAAATCAGGACATTATTGTTCAACTCTATTAATTTTGATCTTTAAAATTATGGTTAATGAAAGAAGCATAGAAAGAAAGAGAAACAATTATGGTCCATATGTATAACATTTATGGGCCTTTTTGTGATTCTCTTTCTGTTTCCCATAGGCTTTGACTCACAACTTTAATGCTTTACCCTGAGAGGAAAAAAATAAAAGAAATAGAAGATGAAGATATTTGATGGAAGTTTGAGACAAATAGAAGAATGTTAAAAGGGTATTACAAAGTTCCAATTTGGGTGTTCGAAGTTTCAAAATGACTAAGGGTACTGCTGGTGTGCAGTCTTGTCTTTAACCTGCACCAACCAATAAGTTGGACTTACATTGGATGTTATTTATCACAAACATTTGGTCATCAAAAGCATCTGAGAAAAAACAATGTTCTCAAACAACATTTGTTGTAAGCTACAAATCTTGTGTCTCAATCTTTTAGATTGTAGAATTTGTCATTGTATTAGAGGTGGTTGTGTAGGGGTTGCTGGATTTTTAAAACCATTAATAATCCAAGAATAGTATTGGATTGAAAGGTTCTACAATATATCACATTAAGCAAAAATTTGACAACTTCAAGTCTAATATTAAATTCTGAAATTCAACAGGCTTATGAAAATTCCATATAGTAAATTACCTAGAGTGGAGGAGTAGAGAGTTTAGCTTTAACTACCTCCAATCTCAAAACTTTGGTATGATGGTGATAGTCTCACCCAAAAAGTTTTGAATTTTCAAAGCAAATTGAATTAATTTCTCACAAATTAGTTCAATTTTGCGCGAAAAAACAAATTGAACTTGTTGAAATTAACCAAGAACCAAGCATAACCATCTATGTATAGGGAACTTAGGCAGGTAAAACTGGTTTGGTTCTGGATTGATTTTGACGAAAGAAAAACAAGTATAATTCTACTAACTTCCTTTCTAAGATTTATATTATGCTCCGACAAATACAAATTGTCTTCTCGTATCCATCATCAGCTCCGAAAAGAATGCTTTTGAAACATGATATGCAAAGAAGCATTTAATGAAACAATAGTTCCTATGTCTTCCAGAAATGTGATGTAGGACAATGGTAAGAGGAAGGAATAAAAAAGAGATCTGGACTCACTCCGTCCTTTGGGTGCTTTTAATCACTCCCTAAAGAAAAATTCTGCCATCACACTGGTGTTGAGCAACACACCAAAGGTGGCTTGGAGTCACTCCAAGTCTACCCATATGCTTCACACACGAGGAGAGGTGGAGCCATGTCCATGGATACAATGTATAGATAAATACTATGAGAATCAAA